CGCACTTTGGGCAACATTTGAGCAATATTTCACATTTCGAGCAAATTTCGAGCAACATATGGCTTCTAAAACATTTTATAGTGGCAAAAACTGTGTGTCGCTTGCAACGAGAATCGTGTTCCAGGTCATAACTTTAAATAACTAATAATGTTGTCAAGAATAAAAGACCGTTGTCATGGAAAGGCACGTGGACTTATCCTTACTGAGCGTGAGAACAGAAGTTTCTGATTGGCTGATGTATCATGCGTGTGTTATCTCAAATTTCTAAATCATCTGATGTCTAGGCTTTGCACTAGTACTGCTGAATTTATTTACAGTTCGTAACCGGTTTTAGTTTTTAAAAAAATTATTGTTCTATATTCTATCAACCTTTCGTAACAACCTGTCGAATAACACTACGCAAAATAGCTTGTTAATTACTTCAGTAAAAATTGACATATTTACGAAAAGCTTAGAGGTAATTGTTCACAACTTTTAGCACTTTTTGAACACTATTCTGAGCACTTTTTAGTCATTTTTGCCAGCACTTTTTTAGGATTTTACGAGCGCAATCGGGAAAGGCCTAGCTCCGATCCCAAACTAGCTAGAAAGTATGAGACTGAACATTGATCGCGATCTAGTAAAATAATTAACTGGTCAGCGGACAGCTTCCAAATAAATCACGTCACCTCAATGAGTTGGCACATGAGCCCGCGATATGGTCATTGGATACTGGTCAGTGGCTATCCTGTTTTGACAGCTGTCAATTGACCATATTGTGAATGTCCAATGTAAAAGATGTGGACTTGACCACATACGCCTGAGACACCCCTCCCTTCCTTTTGATAGCCTCCCTACCCCACCCGTACAATCCGTAGACGCGTACGTACGTACGTACGCTCGGTCAATCACGTGACAACCAAAGGAAAAGAGGTTGACCATAATCTATGGGTATGGGGCTCTGTCCCACGCGCTAATATTTTGCATAAATAAAAGACTGATGTCTGAGTGGCAAGGTCTAGAATAGGGTGATATGAAAAAAAGAAAATGGATAAATAAGTTACATTTTTCTTAGTTTTTCCGACATGAAATAATGTTTATACCCAGTTTTCATTGTAAGGAACTTTTTAATACTTAGTATTACACTTTTTGTGTTTACTGTGTCACACCCACTGAGGGTAATATTAATATTGTAATCCAGACAACATCCTTCTTGGAAGGTTTCTGAGGATCCAAATGACAGTAAGGCACTGGGCTGGCACTAAGATTTCAAGTTGCTGGGTATATGCAATTAGTAGGTGGTGAGGAATTAAACAACTAGCCAGGAAGATTGGTGAGTTTTGGTTTTCTTTTGTTCCTTATAAAAGTAGCTGGTGATCATGCTCATAGTAACCGGCCACGGGAGAAATCCCCGACCCCAGCCCTTGGTGCCAGTCCCGAGTAAGGGCAAGCTTCTTAACAACAATATCCTCATCCTTATGACTGATTTCTTTTAAGGCTAGCGGCTGGAAAATCCTGAAGTACTGGACTGATTGCTAAACAATGTACAAGTAACTGCACCTTGGCTACTAGGGATAATAATCAAAATAATGGTATTATCACTTGTTGATTAAGTTTTAAGTAATATATCAAAAACGAGTGCGAGGGCTTCATCGGGGTATCCAGACACAGAGAAACAGATGAAAGCACGAGGCTGAAGGCCGAGTGCTTTTATCTTTTCGAGTTGTCTGGATACCCCGACGAAGCACGAGGTTCTGGTATAGTTTGTTAAACAAGTGGCTGGCCATTATTATTCATTATTGTTGTTTCGTTTTGGTGATTACACAATAGCTTTAGCTATAGAATGTGATAACAACTGTTTGGATGGACTGTGTCATTTGGGAGTCATCCAACTTAATTTAGTGTTTATCATAATATTCAGTTCTTGTGCGACATGGATCAGTCAAGTTCAAGGTTTCAGACACCCAAAACTTTTGAAGAGGAAAAAGAGTGTGTTATCAATTCTGTTCTGAAATCTACAGTTTACAAGAACAAATGAGCATTACAGATTTTTCAAGAATGGCAAGACCAAAAAGCACTCAAGATTTGCACCATTGAGCTAGGCGGACTGTTTAAAGGTGAAGACATATTGGTCTGGATGTGCAAGAGTTGACTGCAAGCATTGAAATCACGAATTCCAAAAGTCTAAACTAAGGGCTATCCAAGTTCGTGCAACAGGTTGCAAAAAAGTCAGGTGTATGATATCTGCATGTCTCGGATTGTCTGTGGCTTTAAACGTTTCCTGGTAGAGAAAAATGGAGAGGGCACATTAGATTCTTTGGCTGTTGGTGACAAAAGGTATCATTTCAACTGATTTTGAAAAGTTTTATTTGAGCTTTGCATTTTAACTTTGTGTAACTTGTGTTGTTTCTTCCTATAGGTTTGGGACATTTCGAACTGTGATAATATGTGAATTACATTCTTCAAAAGAAATAGATGTTTGTTGTTTGCATGAGACGTTATTTACTTAGAATTAATTTATTCATGTCACATGATTTTTCTAGAATCAGCCAACATTTGGATTTTGTATCCAAATCTTTAAAGACTTTCATCTGGTTTTTCATTGGGACTCCAAATGCATCCACGTGATGCAGTATATCCAGGTGTTGACTTGTGGGCATGAAATATGAATTATTATTAATGCACTTGAGAAGTCTTTATTCCAGATTCAGATTGCGTAATATCTCACTTTGCCCCAAATATAAGTGAGTTGCCCTCTGATCAAACATGACAAACAAGCTTACTACATGTAACTGGCCAAGGCTATTTTTTGTGGACTGAGAGTCACCACCATTGTACTATGATAATTTGATGGTGTCCTATCCATGATTATAGCTTGCATATGTCAACAACGATGGCCACATCCCATTAAGAATCCAGTACATTTCTACAAAATCCAACACCCCTGAATTTTCAGAACCCTTTCCTCAGGGGTTGACCCTGACTTTGAGATCTGTAGACGCTTGCAGGCAGTCAACAGAAGGCTGATGTACTCTGTTGTTATCTTATCTCTCCATACTCTGTAATGCTGTGACTTGGTGGTCCCAGTCGATATACACCAACAGTTTGGTCCTTTGAAGCTGTTACTAAATCTATTAAGAATGTTATATTAAAGAGAACAAAATGAAACCACTGTCAAACTAGGGAACGAGAGAGATTTAAGGTGGCTCGACTGGATTTTTTGGGGTTGATACCTCCCAACTTTGAGCATTAACTACGTCGGCATGAGTAAAGATATGGAAAAAAGGTTACCACAACTGTATTATATAAAGATGAAAATTTCTTATGATCTGGGTTTTATTGCAATCGGAGTCGCCATGGCAACGTAATGACGCCATTACGTTTTTCATTTATCTTTGTGTTTCTCTGTTCCAGGAGTTTTTTGATGAAATCGCTTAAGGGAGTATGTACCTGCTATAATTGCCTCCATTATGGCGTAGTTTGAACAAATTCTATGAGAGCGTTTTCGAAATATTTTGAAATGTAGTTTTAAGAATGATAAAAACAGTGAAATAGCATGCTAGCTACACAATTCGCTAATATTTTAAGAAAATGATAAGCTTTGGGAACGAGGCTTCATCTCATAGTGGTTTGACTCCATTGGAAACTGCATCCAAAAAAAGAGGGGAATTGCTCTGGGCGATCGCGAGTAAGAAGAATTTTATTAACTTGCATTCAGCTGCTTTTGATACAGTTTTTGGACGTAATTTGGTCCATGCCTAAGAATTTCGCATTTTTCCAAAAACCGCTCGATAAATTTTTTTATAAATTCGACAATCCCGAGATCAATCGTCAAGAAATATTCCCTGCAAGTTTCAAGAACATTGAAAATAGGGAAGGCTTTTAAATAGGGCCTCTAATATAACCAATTTTCCCCGCAGATTTTGTGTTTACAAGTGAGGGTCCTCATTATTCACTGGCATTGTTTTCAAGTTTCATATGCACGTGCACAACCAGCAAAAGATATAAATTTGCATAAAAAAGAACTCTCGATTACTTTCCGAAGAAATATCAGGAATATGCTAATAGTTGGCTTGTCGTCACAGATAGCAGTGAGAGCCGAAACGGTGAACGTCACGGCTCATCGCGTAGGATGGAATACTTAATTATCTTACTCGGGTTATAACATCACAGAAACTATCACAAAGAGTTGCTCTGATGTTATAATGTATCATTAATCTCTTTACCCGGTAATTAGCATATCCCGAAGATTTAACCGAAGGTCCTTTTTGATGCAAATTCTATCTTTTTGCTAAATGTGCACGTGTATATGAAACTTGAAAACAATGCCAGTAAATAATGAGGACGCTCACTTGTAAACACAAAATCTAGGGGGAAAATTGGGTATATTTGAGGCCCTATTTAAAAGCCTTCCATGTTTTCAATGTTTTCAATGAAACTTGCAGGGAATATTTCTTGACGATTGATCTCGGGATTGTCGAATTTATAAAAAAACTTATCGAGCGGTTTTTGGAAAAATGCGAAATTTTTACGGATGGACCAAATTACGTCCAAAAACTGTATCAAAAGCAGCTAAATGCAAGTTAATAAATTCTTCTTACTCGCGATCGCCCAGAGCAATTCCCCTCTTTTTTCGTATGCAGTTTTCAATGGAGTCAAACCACTATGAGATGAAGCCTCGTTCCCAAAGCTTATCATTTTCTTAAAATATTAGCGAATTGTGTAGGTAGCATGCTATTTCACTGTTTTTATCATTCTTAAAACTACATTTCAAAATATTTCGAAAACGCTCTCATAGAATTTGTTCAAACTACGCCATAATGGAGGCAATTATAGCAGGTACATACTCCCTTAAGCGATTTCATCAAAAAACTCCTGGAACAGAGAAACACAAAGATAAATGAAAAACGTAATGGCGTCATTACGTTGCCATGGCGACTCCGATTGCAATAAAACCCAGATCATAAGAAATTTTCATCTTTATATAATACAGTTGTGGTAACCTTTTTTCCATATCTTTACTCATGCCGACGTAGTTAATGCTCAAAGTTGGAAGGTATCAACCCCAAAAAAATCCAGTCGAGCCACCTTAATACTCTTCCAGTGGATTTTTAAGTGAGGATGTGCCACTGGTACGTCAAAGCCCTTACCCCTTTAAGCCCAATATCCACCTACAAATTCTCCAGACTTATCTCCATAAATATTCTTAAATTCTATACTGATGATGTGCCACCATATAGCTAAAGATACATTCATCATAAGGTGAAATATCAATGTCCTCCACAGCATCTGAGTGACAGAACAAATCCTCTACAAACTCGTGATGATCAGGAAATTGTCGATATCTGTAAGAACAAATTATGAACAATCTTGATCAAATTCACAGACCAAAAATATATATAAATATAAATTTAAGGTTTATTTTGTACAAATATGCAACTGGCTTTGGAAGCAGAATTAAAGAAACCTGGCTCATAATGTGTGTACACTTCAACATTGTTATAATAACACATTTCACAATTTCACTGAAATTAATAGGGCTGAATTTTTTTGAAGGAAGTGACAGCTACAAAGTGAGATTTGAATTTAATTATTAAAAATAACAAGTTGTACCTACCTGTAGTCTAACCTCTGTTGATTGATAATTAAGCCTTCAGGGTAAGCTCTGACCATAATATTAACCGATGTTCTGTTTTCAATGATTTACTGATAATTTTTAATAGTAGTCCTGGCTAAAAAGAGGGGTGGCTACATAATAGGAGCTAAGTTTTAGACATTTAACAGTAATTGACATCTGTTGATTTTAATAAGAATAGTTGCAAATTAATATTGTTAATGGCTAGTCAAGAGATCACTAATGCCAATTACCACAGAGTATGACTTACTTGCAAACAGCTCCTCTGTCACAGGCAGTAAATAGTGTACTTCCATTAGAAGTATACCTGAAAATACAAACTCTTCATGTCAAAAATATTATTTTCATACTTGGTCTTATCAACCAAATGACTTTATAACATCACTTTGACTCTTAATCAAGGAAATTCTTAAATTCATAAAATTTTATGAATTTAAGAATTTCCTTGTTGTTCATACTTGATTTTCCATAGTGGATCTTTCCCATGTTCTTTCATTCGTTCTTGAACCCCAGCTTCTGGGACAAAACTTGTCAAAAACTCCCCTCCAAACATAATGAGACCTAATAGACATTGCACAACAAGACAGGGAAAAATCATCATTTTTGATTATTTTGAATTGCTATACAAGACATTTTAATTAGCCGGAAAAAAATTTTTTCATGAGCAGGATTGATTACAGTTCTTCTGTAATGTGAATTTCCTAAAAGAAATTCATTTGCCAATAGGGTAAGTTGAGAACAAAATTCACTAGCCCGATAACAATATTAAAATCCACTAGTCGGGTCACCGGGCTATGGGACATGACTTTCTTTGCACCCTGGTAGAGGAGTACATAAGTAAATACTGTCTTGATATACATACCAGTCGACCATAAACAAGGATTGGGAAGGAGTACTTTTCACAAAGTGGATCTTGCACTTTTTGCCCAATAGGCAAAATCTGTGAGGAAGACAGGAGGATAAGCTAAACTATTTTGAAACCTAAATGTCTTGTTTGAATAACTGATATGATAACAGAAATGCAAGAGCCAAAGTTATCTCATCTACATGTATCGGGCTAAAATAATAAAAAATTAATGACTTAATTTTGGGGGGCTTCTGTAAATGACCTAATAAATGCCCAAGGCATCTAGTTAACTCTAGGGGTCCAAAAGGGGGCATTTAATAGATAGGAGGCGTTTATTCTCATTACTGTAACAAGCTCAACAAAACTTTCTTTTGGCAAAAATATCAAGAGAGTTTAAAAATAGCAGAATATCCACGCCATCAATATTGATACGTCTAGGCACTCTACAGATCCATATCGCTCTTTTTCAAATCCCAACATTGATGTTAGAATCCACATTCATTGTTGCTGCTACCCTCATTTTTAACTTGACATTGAACACGATGAAGTATGCATTTACCCTTGTTAATCAAGCAAGAAACTGAATGAATTGAATGATTTTGCTAATTCCTAGTATTTTGGAGTAATTCTCATGGGAAGCCGTCTACCTATTCTCGGTTTGCACTGTCACACAATGAAAAATAAAAATGCAAACCATTCAATACATAAATCTAGAATCAGGGAAATGAAAGAAGATAAATATACAAAACGTCTCCCCAAAAATCAGGTCTGTGCAATATTTCAAATGGGAGATATTCGGAAAAACAATTAATTACCTAAATTTATAAAGCTTTGTATGAAAACACGATCTCGGATGTGGAAGTCCCTTTCCGGAACACCAATATGCCCGCCGGATACCAACAGAAACATCTGTTTTCGAGTTTTCTTGCTAATGTGTGAATTCTTCGCTTGAGGACCTCATAAAGATTAAAGTAATATTATTTTATTCTGAGACAAGGAATGTTTAGATAGCAAATCTCCCAAACTTGGTAATGTTTTTAACCCACATAAGAGCTTTTCTGGCCATCAGCTAAATGCCACGTCATGCAAAAGCGTGGAAATTCAAGCGTCCTCTCTCGCAAAACGAAGAACCCCTTGGAACCCAAAATTTGTTTATGTAAAGGTGTTAGGTGCTGTAATACCTCGTGAAAGTAGCAACTCAGAAGAATTGATAGTTTCTTAGTTTGATTTTTAGTGACGTCACATGCAAACCAAGAATTAGACAGGGGCATCTACTAAAATTTCAACAGCGTTGAGGGGGTGTTTATGTGGAAGTGGACTTCTATTAGGTTAGTTACAGTGAATGATCATGACTTACAAATACAGTGTGCAAAGAAAGTCAAGTCCGATATCCTAGGGCTACTGGATTTTACTATCGCATAGTGCTAGTGAATTTTGTTCTTTTTTTGTTCTTCGAGGAGGCCTAACCTCTCATAAGCTCCTATAGTTTCTGTTAGGTCTCCTCGCCACTTCTTTTTTTTTTTTCTTCTTCTTCTTTTCCTATATTTTTTGTAATTAGTGTGGCAAATAAAATAAAATAAAATAAATAAATAAATAACTTGCCCGACGGGCAAGTGCTGTGCTTTGGGGAAATTCAAATTACAGAAGGATTGTAATCAATCCTGCTAATCAAAAAGGGTTATGGGGCTAGCTGAAATGACTTTTTGGCTAGCTAGTAAATTAATGCTTGCTACAGCTTGCTCAAATGGCAGGCTGTAAAACTGACTCTCTTTGCACCCTGCAAATAGGGGCTGAATGAGCAGAAATCATAAAATTAATAGTACATACTTGATGATCCCACTTGAGTTCTCTCATGACAACCACTTGAGCTGCTGCAGCTGTTCCAGGGGATTTCTGTTTCCTTTTACTTTCCTTATCACCTAATAGATATGACAAATACATAAGAAGAAAACTTGTTATAGCTATCACTAAGCGCCAATGAGCAACGATTTTACTTATACGCACACCCTGTTCAATTTGTTTAGAAATGTTATGAATTACCATAACTTATGAGAATGCATGCTGCAGGTTAGTCATGTGTCCATCATTTACTGTCATGGAATGCACTCATGCATTATTCTGCGCACATGTTTGCTCAGAAACAATGCATTCTCTCTTCTGCATTACACCATAGAAGTTACCTTACACTACTATGTTACATCGGTCATGTTGAAACGCAGACCATGCAGACTGCAGACTGCAGACCGTGCAGACCGAGTGTTATTTTTTTTTTACTTGTACCTTAATTTTCTAGTAAAATTTTTACTATAGTTTCCCGAAGAAGCAAGCACGATGGAGGAAGGTAGGCTGTTTCTTTCTGTAACTGTATTATATGCCATGATTATTTAAATTTTTTTAGTAGAAGAAGCTTTTTCAGGTTAAGTGATTTAAAATAAACCCCCTTTCGGCTTCCTACAACGGCTACGAGAGAGACATTTCCTCAATTTCCTTGATTGTTGATGATTGTCTTTGGTTTCACTCTGTAATTCAAACCGGTGACTTGCTGTCATTTCTTCAAATCTTACAGATACCGATGTCATCGTTGCTAGCTCAGAAGATTCGGTAAGACTTTTGTTTATGTATTTTTTTATTCAATTCTCAAGAGTGTCCTTCTGGGCGAGTCTTCACTGGGGACTGACAATTGTATTTGCTCCATGCATTCACGCCAATAAGTGGTAGTGGTTTGAAACCGACAATCTTGTTCGAGTATCATGGTTCTTGTTTATGCAGTTCCAAAACTAAATAGTTCATTAGTAACAAATGTATTATTTGTACAACTCGAGGATGTGGAGGGGGTTTTAATGGGCATTGAACTAGATCCCCTGCCGTGTATTTTAGGTTTATTTTGTCTTAATTTTTATTGAATATTATGTGTGAGAAGTTTCAAGTCACTGCCCTTCTTCTCTTAATTCTGACACTTATGGAACCGCCAAACACGTCGAAATCAGAATTATATTTATTTTTAGGTAGATATACTGTACTGTTGATTTATTTACACATTTTAAAGCAAGGCCCATCTCTCAAACGTCTCAGTTTGATATCCCGAGCTAACAATGATGACATTGGTATCTGTAAGATTTGAAGAAATGACCGCAAGTCACCGGTTTGAATTACAGAGTGAAACCAAAGACAATCATCAACAATCAAGGAAATTGAGGAAATGTCCCTCTCGTAGCCGTTGTAGGAAGCCGAAAAGGGTTTTATTTTAAGTCACTTAACCGGAGAAAGCTTCTTCTACTAAAAAAATAAATAATTGTGGCAATATAATACAGTTACAGAAAGAAACAGCTTACCTTCCTCCATTGTGCTCGCTCCTGCGTGAAAGCGGCACAGCTAAAAGCACGCGAAACTGCTTTTCCATCGGCCGGTAAACATGAGCCCGTGATTTTCTCATTTCCTACCCATGACCCTTGCAGGTACACATCAGTGCACATATGATGGTGATGCACAGTGCACATACATACATGTAATGAGAGGAAGCAGGAAACTATAGTAAAAATTTTACTAGAAAATTAAGGTACAAGTAAAAAAATAACACTCAGTCTGCACAGTCTGCACAGTTTGCAGTCTGCAGTCTGCATGGTCTGCGTTTCAACATGACCGATGTTACATCACTTCGAGATTCATTATGCCTTGGAACTTTTGCACAGGGCTTTATTATGCTCTTGCCTCGCAGCTCCTTGGCAATAACTATCCAGGGCTTCAAAAAGTATAATCTTGCAGCTAAGACGACTTTTAACAATCTAGTGAAATGTTGCATATGCAGTTTACTCGATTTTACTTGAATCTTATCATCTGAAAACTGCACAACCTGTCATTACAACCTAACTTAATACTCTATGACCTCTACCTGAACAACTTTTACACAAATCCAGGAAAAAATAAATAATCAAAAAATTTTGACCAGGATTTGTTTAAACAAATAAACAACTCTTTTTCTATTCCATTACAAAAAATCATAGTTGTCTGGCAGATGATACACATGAATAACAAATTCTTTAAAAACAATACAAGAAATTTTACTTAAAGGATAGAATTTTGTCACTTACAGTACACACTAAATTACAGTACAACTGAAGTCAAGAATTAACATCCAATAGAGCAGTGTAACTCTATGCAAAAGCAGGCAAAGGCAGACCTACATTTTGAGGCCCAACTATCCAGAGCTTAACATAATTTCTGTAGCATGAGGAATCTACTCTGTAGGAGTATGGCTAACCTCTCTGGATAGGATACTTGCTCATCACAGGGACACCCTTGTTGCCATTCAACTTAATAAATTTACCAGAGCTTTGGAAGTTTTCAAAAACTTTATGAGCCAAAATACAAGAGAACTCTGTGACAGATCAGTTAGTGACAAAAGGGTGAAAACTGGTAAGATGTAACAACAAAAAGACCATTCTTGAAAAACCTGTTTTTCCAATTAGGTTTTTCCAGAAGGTTCTAGAAACATCTGTACGGTGGAACCTTGATTTAACGAAGGGCCAGGTGACTGGCAAAATGTGTTTACCATATCAACGAGGTTTCGTTATATCAAGGTTCTTTTTCATATCTTACTGCGACTGGGGTAAAGAAAATCATTCGTTACACCGGACTTTGTTATACAGAGTTTAATTATATCGAGGTTCCACTGTAATATTGATTGTCTCTTTTGAATAAACAAACATTCACAGAAAAATGAAAAACTTGACAATGTTGCTTATTTCCTCAAGCAGGGCTGTTGCTCAGATTTCAAGTTGTTTTTCCTATGTAGGCAGGGAAATGAACAGCAACAAATTTTTGTTGCAGGGCTCAAAACAAGTCCCATCCAGTAGTCCTGGTCAGGTGGATTTTCTTGCTGGACAAGTAACTTTTAAGGCTCACTTACCCAATGAGGGTCAAGACAACTGATCCTCTAATAAAATCATTAACTAAGACAAGCAAAAGGTGGCTCTAACCAAGCAAAATATGAGAGCTGCTTGCCCCAAGGACAAGCTGGACTTCAAGATTTTTCAAGCACTGTATTGGTTCTATATTCTATATTCCATTTTCTTATGAAAGTAGCCAGGGGTCATGCTCATAGTAGCCAAAGGGAATCCACTGTCTCAGGCTCTTATTGACAGAGATGCTCAAGAGTGTGTGTCTCTCAACAACCTTCACACAGCATTCCTCAGGTTCCCATTTATACACCTGGGTGAAGAGACAAAGTGGACTAACGTTTCTTGTCTAAGGAAACAACATGACAGCAAGGCTTAAAACCAGACATACATTGTACAGCGTTGAAAGAAAATTGGCTTCTTTACCTTCAGATCCTGTCCTAGACTTTTCTCCGCTTTTTCCTTCCTTTTTCTTACTTTTCCCAGATGACAATGAACTTGCTGACTTGCTCTTTGCTTTCAGTTTTAAAGAAATGTTTCGCCTAACTGGCTGAGAGGTGGATCCTGGAGCTGCTCCCTCATGCTCCAATTCAAGATCTACCAAAATAACATAGAAAACTAAAAGGTCAGTCTCACCTTGGTACGATGTATAAAGAACTTTTTGTCATGGATTTACATGTATTTTTCCAGGCACTAAAAGAGATAATGTCTAGATCATTTTGTTAATATTATTTTTGATACATACACTTCCTTATCTGCTCAGGAACTTTACGTTAACAAAGAAATTATTGTTTATTGTACCGATAAGAGTACAGCAAAAGCACCAAAATATAGGGGATAAATTATAAATATGCACTAAGAACAGCTAGATTTAAGATACATCATAAGCAATAACAAGATATGCTGAGCAAAAAATTAACAAAGTAAAGGGATGCCATATCATTTTGAAAAAGCAATACAAAAGTACAAATGGTAAAAATTAAATCTAGGTAAACCTATAAACCTCAAAGAAACAAAAAAAGCCCCCACGAGTAAAGTGTTTGGCGTCAAGTACTGTGAAATTCACAAGGAGCGGCTTGTAAAGGGTCTAATGATCCCAATGGAAACTGAGCTAAACAACTAATCAACAACTAAAAGAAATACATTTGATACTGTTAGAATTTTTAGAAAATTCGAGGACCAAAAATGATATTTACAAAGGAAAAAGGTACATTTTTCATGGTCATTATATGACAGCAATGGCAGAAATTTTCCCAGCACTTGAACCCAAGTATAAAATGGAGTAACCCTCAAGGATATGTAATACTAGTGAGATTAGTTTCAATCAGAAGAACAACACATCGACATACCGCTACAAACCAGACCAATCAATCACGACAAAGCTGAAAATCAACGCCGCGTAGGGTTACAAACGTTTCATTTTCGTGAAATAAATATGAACAAAGACTTAATAACACAGAGAAAACATTTTTTAAACTGATTAGAGACAAATTAAGGATAAATTTAAGCAATAAGTCAGAGGGAAAGCATGCTTACCGTCCTCCATCTTGAATTTTCCTGCGCTTAAGCTTATGGCCGCTGTACGGCTTTGATCGAGCCTTCGAAACTATTCCCCAGGCCTACTCCAGCATGATAATGATTACCGTAAAATTCCGAAAATAAGCCCCGGGGCTTATATTTTTCAAAGGCCCTGGGCTTATCTACGGAAGGAAATTTGCGTTTCCAAATCAATTTGGCTAGCCTTATAGTTGGAAGGAAATTTACTGTTTTTGCTTTGTTTTACTTTGTATTTGAGAACAATTTTCCAAGTAGAAGCCCCCGGGGGGCTTATATTTAGAGGGGCGATTTAACGGAGGGTTTTTTGCGTTACCGGCTTGGAGGGCTTATATTTGGAGCGGCTTATACATGGAGGGGCTTATTTTCGGAATTTTACGGTATTTCCCCTTTTCCAAAATCTTGGATTTTCCCACCTAGGACCAACCTCGTCCCCAGGGCTTTTCCCTTAAAAAATGGGTGGGACGGGACGCCCCACCCATTTTTTAAGGGAAAGGCCCTGGGGACGAGGTTGACCTAGAACCTCGTTTATTATACATTGTACTCACTATCTGTCTTCTCATTGGCTAAGTTTGGAAATCAGCGCAACCAAGTCTACAGACCCTACAGATTAGTTAGTTATTAGTCTGCTACACAGCCGTTTTTAGTGTCGGAGGAGCGTTGCGTGAAGACACTAAAAACGGCTGTGTAGCAGACTAGTTAGTTATCGGCTAGCAGATACCTGACTAAGCTATAGGTTGCGCGGACAATGCATGATTTCCAATAACAACATTAATTGAGGTTCCTTAGCTTGCGACGACGGTGTTTGTCTTTTTAGAAATACGCAGCACTACGCATTTATCAGTGTTAAATCTCAATAGACAACTCAAAGCTCTTTAGACTACGGGCGGTCTATCTTTTACTTCGATTTAGTGAGGGGAGTGCACGCGCACGCGAGACGCAAGAAACGAGGCGAGAAACGTGCCTCTCCTGTCTCGCGCCTTCAGCCAAGCGCGTGGTCATTTACGTGTCTCGCGCGTATTGCTCGACGAACTAAGATGAAAGAGAGGTTACCATACATGGGGCGCCGGATTCTTAAAGTGGTGACTTATGGAGAGAAGAAAGGGAAGGGATCGGCGCGAAGACTCACACTCTACTTATCCGCCCTGCTCCTTAGCCTGCGTAGCTGGCGATTTAGCGGGCGAGTGCTGTAGTTTTTTAGCGGCGGAGCCGCGTGAAGATTGGGAGCAAGTCAAGGAGGGATATTCCCTCGCGGCGACGCTTCACGTGGCGGCTCCGCCGCCAAGAAAGCACCACGGGTACGAGAATTCTGCTAGCTATGCAGGTTACATTATCATTCACACCACTCCATGACTTTTAAATGCCAGGGACAGGCTAATGAGTTAATCAGATTTAGCTCTGAGCATCATCGCGCACGAGGGCGATCAAGCGTAACTTGGTTCGATCAGCGACCATAGCTTGGTTTAAAACAGTGAAGGACACTCTACACCCATGGAAGAAACAAAAGTTTACTTTGCTTTTGGGTCAAATCTGAGCGCAAGAAAAATGCGGGAAGGCGGCACTAGGTTCATCTCTCGCGAAAGCGCAGTACTTCGAGGATTTCGCGTCATATTCATCAGCATATGGAAAGACGATGGCTTTGGTTGTATTTTGTATTGTATTTTATTTTTTTACTCCATCCTATAATTACGGAGCCCAGTAAGTGCCATTCAAATTTTGCGCTCAATTTTTTCTGTCTCGACTTTTTTCTCGCCTTTAAGTTTTTTTCCCGACTTTTTTCTCGACTTTTTTCTCGACTTTTTTCCCGACTATTTTCTCGACTTTTTTCTCGACTTTTTTCCTGACTTTTTTCCCGACTTTTTTCTCGACTTTTTTCTCGACTTTTTTCCCGACTTTTTTCCCGACTATTTTCCCGACTTTTTTCTCGACTTTTTTCCCGACTTTTTTCTCCACTTTTTTCTCGACTTTTTTCCCGACTATTTTCCCGACTTTTTTCTCGACTTTTTTTCTCGACTTTTTTCCCGACTTTTTTCGCAACTTTTTTCTTTTTTGGCACTGTTAAAATTGGACACTTATTCTTTGTGTCAACGCTTTAAAAAACAGTATTTTTCCCATTCCCCCTCTTATTCTCAGAGAAGAAAAGGCTACCACCATTGACAGTTAATTTTAGGAAGTGCAGTTGTTCCTGTTTTAAAATACATCTGTTGTAGTAGCCCTTATTTGGACAGTGTCACTTTCTTTCAGCGCTTTACATGCCATGTTATGGTTTTTTTTCTGAACTGTTGAATTGCGCATGTTGTGTTTATCACTTGATTATACAGTGGTACGTATATACTTTAGTGTGTCATTGTTAAAATCTGTATCCTAAAACTGCTAAATAGCATTTATTGTAATTTTAATTATCATTTTACAGTAGCAAATTGTGTGAGGTGGGGAGTGGGAACTACTACGGCCAATAGGTGTGTGCCGCGAAGGTTTGTAACCTTCCCATTTTCTTTTCTCTTTTTTTTCTTATGAAGACAGTTAGGTTCAGAGATGTGACGTAAACTTAGTTGAATGGTTTCCAAAGTAGCTGAAGAAAAGTAATCCAGGAACAGGTCTTCAGAGCATCGTGAGTCCCATACTTTTCGGTTACCTTATCTAGGGACAGCAATACCGAGAGGAATCCTGTTTTAAAGAACCGATAACCTCTTTAAAATCATCCTTCATCCCATGGCAGTTACCTATTCATAGCCTAAATATAATAGTAGTTCCCTCCTCCTTCCCCTTCCTCACCTCGATCCATCTGGAAATTGATATTATTGACTTTGGGGTAATGTAGCTCAGTAATAACTTAACTTGTAAATTAGGTGTCTAAGTAGGTTTCCTTCCTAAACCTTAACAACCATTGTGTTTTTAAAGTGCTTTGTCACAAATAAAGGACAGTTTATTTGATTCATAGGTTTTGCTCAATAGTTTCATATTGCAGACTGGGGTACATGCCCCACATCACTGGAACAAACGGAAAAAAGATCACAGTTCATTATTTACTGGGTTGGCCGAAACAGGTAGAACTGAAGTGACCTGGCCTTAAGCGATTTCGTTTTGAAAGAAAGGCAATCGATGAAATACCGGGCATTGAAATAGTGAGGTTCTTCTTGAGAATTAACAAATCAAACGTTTACTAAAAATTACATGAAGCTATCAAACAAAGATCGCTTCTACAGTAATCGGCCAATCTCTGTTGACTAAGCTGCCCGTGTCTGGAGAGACACCATGGCTTGCTTGGCTGCTTCTAAAGGTGAGTAGCTCACTAACTAGTCAAACCTAACCTGTCTGTCTCTTTGTCCAGAATTCTGCCAGCTCAGGGAAGCGACGACAATCTGAACATAAACAAAGGAAACTTGTCTAATATCCTTGTTCTGGCAAGGACCCTGGCGAGTTCAACATGAAAGCTCTCTAATAAACAGTTATTCGCTAAAGTTAAGTAATTTTCTGCTTTGATAACATGGCCCTTTTTTTAACTGCTTGAAATTGGAAATTGCAGTAACCCATGCACTTGCGAAGGCTGAAAAACACATGAGTGCCGAACGCCTGGAGCACTACTACAGCCACCCTCCGCCCATGACCGAGCAAGTTAGTAAACAATTAACAGGGGCGTAGCCAGCCAATAAACATGTAGGCCCGGGCCTACAAATTTTTTGTTTGATAACTCTACCTTTGTGTAGATATTATATACGCTATAAACGACAGGTAAAAGGAAAATTTGGTTGCAAGTGACAAATTGTCTCTCGCCGTCATCGTAAAGCTAAAATCACTATATAGTTGGTGCCATCCTGTGTTATTAGAGTTTTACAAGACCTAGCACTTTGTAAATCTAGTGTTTCGAACTTTTATTAAGTCAAGATGCTGCATTGCTGGTTTTATACATTTCTCCTTGCGAGTTTGCGATTAACGTTTGCCCCCCTCCCCTTCCTTACATTATCTACGTCAGTTCTTACGAGAGACTGGCAACATGCTATTATACTAAATCATCCATGCTCTGAAGTAAGGTAGAGTACAAGGTGACTGCATCTTCGGCTGTCTCAGGCATATCAAGGTTTTGTTCCTGCATTATAATTGATGCTAACTGAGTGAACTCGACACAACAGCCACTTTCTGCATACCTATAGCAACATCTTTGCTCCGCAAGTTCAATATCATCAATGTCCACATCTTGTTTAAGGTCTGCTCCTCCAGTAACGTCTGACACAAAATAAAGCAGGTCTGGTCGACCACTTGGAGACTCAGCATTGTTCGTTGGCCTTATCTTATGTAAGTTCCACAATACAGCCACTTTATAAAGCTCTTTGCGGATGAGAGGCATGAAGCAAAACTTAAGACATTCAGCCTGTACTGCATCGTTTGCGCAGTAAAGACCGGAGTCCCTCATATCTTGGAAAAAACGGATCCACCAGTCCGAGCAGCCTCTTCTTAGAATACCCCACCAAGCCTCTATACGCTGATTAGCAACGGATTTTCCATATAAGAAACTTTTATCTCCAGCCCAACTGTCGTCCCCATCACGTCTAAAGAAGCGCTGTACAGCAGCGACATAAACATTCTCTGTTCCCCCATCACCACGTATTATCTTGGCAGTTCCACCGATTTGCCTGATAGTGTCCACAAAATATTGGGCTATGAGAGAGGGATCATTGTTAGAAGGACCAACTTCTAACCACAAGATTCTTCTGCTATAGCCGTCAATTGCACCGTGTACACAAAAACCAAACGGTTTCAACTTGTCATATCCGTCAATATGCCATATGTGATTAGGACCTTTTTTGCTGTACTGCCTTCTCCGGAGTCTCCGACTTGATCTTGCGGACACACCATAAGGATCTAATATCTTCATCAATTCTCTAACTGTCTCTTTGCCAACAACTAGCCCGTGATCAACTACCAGCCTCTGAGTCATTTGCCTATACCCAATAGTGCTACCACTGCCTCGTAGTTCCTCCTCGATAGCTTCGCAAACCTGCCGTAGATCAGTCCTATTAGCTCTTCTTCCAAGACCACGACATCTCAGTATTCGCTTTAGTTGACGAATACTTAAGCAAATGCCGTGCAAAAGAAACAAACACATCAAGATCTCGCTGTAACCCAGACCTAGATGAAAGAAGTGGTCGATTATGTCGTCACGTTCTGCATGGGCTGGGAGAGAGAAATAGCCTGGCAGAACACATGTAGAGGGAATTACCATAGACAGCAACATCGTATAACGAAAAATTCTTGCGGCCATTTTGTTTGCGCTTAAATGTTAGCGGATTTACTCCAAAGTCAGGGGGAAAAGTCGGAAAAAAGTCGAGAAAAAAGTCGAGAAAAAAGTCGAGAAAAAAATCGGGAAAAAAGTGGAGAAAAAAGTCGGGAAAAAAGTCGAGAAAAAAGTCGGGAAAAAAACTTAAAGGCGAGAAAAAGTCGAGACAGAAAAAATTGAGGGCAAAATTTGAATGGCCCTTACTGGGCTCCGTATATTTAAGTGTATACACACTCAGTGATCTTGGTAATTCAAGCAATCTGATTGGTTAGCTATCTCGGACTATGACGTTATATTCACCGCGCTAGGCGGTGAATATAAAGCCGAACAAAATCGCTGTCGTGAACTGGGTGTTTTGCCAAAGTTTCAAAGTAAAACCTTTTTGAAAATACACGAATATCCAAGTGCTGATGACTTTGAAGGCAAGAAAAGACTTCATGGTGTTTAAACAGCGTGATTTATTGTGAAGTGGTTTACTTTAGCTGACTTTTTGTACTCTCGAAGCTATGTTTACCACTACAGAGGAAAACGAGGTCGCTTTGTCACTGTTTTGTGATTTCGGGATTTTCTCGCAAGACCAATTTTGCCTATAAATAGAAGTTAATTTATGGAGAAGAGAGGAAGGCAAATATTTTCGAAAATTGTACGTGCCAGCAAGTTAACAAGGCAAAGAACTTTGGAGATAAACAACGCTCACTTTGATCGCAGCCGCTGTTGACAGCATTTGCAAGAAGCGACGAAGAAAACTTTCTCATTCACGGTGAGTTGACAGAAACAAATAAAGCTCTAGCTACTTTTCTTCTCAGAATTGGGTAGTAATTTAAATTTTCGGCGTTTTCTTTTAAACCATTGATGCTAAAGCTTACAAAACTCGATACAAAAGGATTAAAACTATCATTTGCCATGTTTGAAGATACTGTAAAGATCTAACTTTTGCGCATCCACTGTTTACGGCTTCGTGTTCACGCATGAATTTTCACCCGTCAATCAAACTAATCGTTTTTTAATGGTTTCCTTTCTGATTCTGTTGAGATCACTTCGTGTGAATATACTAAAACAATTATTCACCTCAGGCTCAGTTAATATTGTTGAATAATCCCCTCGACTTCGTCTCGGGGATTATTCAACAATATTAACTTCGCCTTCGGCGAATAATTGTTAATTATACATTAGTTGTACAATATCAATTGGTACAAAGTTGCTTAAACTAGGTGTAAATAATAATGATGATAAAAGAAGAAAATTAGAATGGAGAAGGGCACATTATAGTAAAACTAATCATGGCCCTTTAACAAGATTGACTTTATTCTTTTGTAGTTTTGTTATTCATTAAAACACAAACACGCACGCACGCACACACACACGCACACAAGTCAATATTGAGCAAGATAATATTTTTTAAGTGCCTTCTCTTATTCTGGATTACCTGAAGACGTTCCGGTCGATAAAGAAACTTGGCAATGACAGGTCTCGGGTCATTTGAAGCGCCAGTCCTGGGTCCCCCAATCCTATGCGCGTTCTCTATCACGGGTTTGATGCCGGATGTTACTAAAACGGGGAACGGGGAGCGGGGAACGGGGAGCGGGGAGCGGGGAACGGGGAACGGAAGTCTGGGAACGAGTTGTCAGCGGAAACCTCCACAAAAATCCAAAATGGCGGTCCAAAAAACGAGAGAGAGAAAGAAGAAGACAAAGAAAGGAATTCGTGCCTTGGTTGAAATCAGGTGGGGACGAAATTGCAAATCAGACTCACATTTTACGTTTACGTTTTGAGCAGGTGGTATGTTTTTTCGATATTCAACCTGTTTCATTTACAATATGATAAGGTCTTAGGTCTTAGTTTTCGAGACACCTGGCACACTCACATTACTCCTGGATTACTCCGTTTACTTTAGACCGTCGCTTAATCCTGCCTGTTTATCCCCCTGAATGTTCTTTTTCCCACTCAGACAAACTTTTGGAGAGTAAAGATTTTATCCAAGCCCATTATATGCCTTGTTTTGAGAATGCTTGGTAAATAACTCGCAGGCATTGTAATGAGAAATAAACGTGGAATTTATTAATGCATGTACATATAGTGTTCTCGCGTTCTGTGCTTGAGTCAAACTTTGTACAGCTGTTAGTATTTAAAACTAACGGCTAAAACTTGTTTTTTACAATTTTTTATGACGGGGAAAGCTTGTTGTTGTTGTTAGTGTTATATTAAAGTCATTGAGTGATGAGTTATGAATCGTTTAAGGTCAGGGTTTGGCATTGAAAACAGGGTTAAGCACTGACTTCAGGAAGGTGGTGGACAAAACACTGACCCCCATTCCATGAACTAACCCCAATGACTACCCTAAAATGGACTATGCCACTGAAGTTAAGTGATTAGGGTTAGGAAACTGAGTGAATCAGGTTCCATTTAGGGTTCTTATACTGGGAAAACTGACCTAAAACTTCATTCACTCAGTTTCCTAACCCTAATCACTAAACTTCAGCGGTGTAGTCCATTTTAGGGTATGTCCATGAAGTGTGGGTCAGTGTTTTGTCCACCACCCTTCAAGAAGTGTTTAGTCAGGTTTGTCACTATATTTACTGTATGTACCAGTATTTGTTTAAAGCAGATAGTAGCAGTTAATCCGAGATATTTGAAGTTTTTCACTTGACTCATGACTCATCGACTCAATTATTTAATTGCCTCTATAATTTCAACTCCTTGACCGATAACGTGACCTAATTTTAAACTGGCATTTTCTTGGCCTTTACTAGAAATGCCAAAGAGATGCAAAAAGGGGACCAGTTCATTTTTTTATATCAAGTGATAACGGGTTGATAATAGAACCCTGTGCCAGCAAATTGTGATAGTCAAGAGATCTTTACCAAAATCCTTCACAACAAAGGAGTATCTTTAAAAAAATGATTAGAATTTGCTTTTACACCCATTTTATATTCAGAATGACATTTCAAATTGATTTTGATATTTGTATCTTTTGACCATAACTAGGTTATAAGGGGAAAACTGAATATTGCTTCAAACCCTTTCATCTCCATAGAGAGTGAACTGGCAAAAATTCCCTTTAGACCTTTTACTGTAAATCCTCTATTCAGCCTCCCTCTCCTTAGAGGACTACAAGAAGACAACCATGAATGTACCACTTCCTTGGCACAAAAAGGTATTGGTACAAATCATGCTATATGTTGGCAGTAGTCAGTAAGGCATTTCTAGTATGTCTCTCACTCTCTTTAGCCTTGTGCCATGTAATATTGGCCTAAGCATTCAGGAGGGGGTATGGTAGAGGACTGACAGTACAATTTGTTGTGTTTATATTAGAAAAAAACATGCACTAAATGAGCTTTGGCGTTTCTAAGTTGCCCAAATTTTTACGAAAGAGTCGAAAAGAAATGAGGGCCATATTGCAACAACATAGGCCGTCCTGGCATATGAAGGTGGCTCGATACAGGTTTTCAGGGTCAATACCAAGTCTGAGCATAAACTACGTCGCCATAAACAAACATTATTAGAAATACGGTAAGAAAAAGAAAATCTTGATTTTTGGCAATTATCTGTAGAAAACGAAGTGCTTTTGTCCTGCAATTTCACCTCATAGTAGCTTTAATCTTTTTAAAAACTTGTGTGAAAGATCGTGGAGGTAGCTCTGCTTGATTGCTAGAATCGAAAGAAGGATTTGATTAGTATGTATCGAGACACTCTTGTTAGCGGTTTTGTCAACATTTCGGTCTACTTTAACAAATCAGCGGATAATTTTAAACCGCTCGATAGATTTTTTAAAAGCATTAAGATTCTTCTCGTAATTCAAACTGAGAATTAGTCAGCCACTTCTTCATGTTCATACAGTTTTCAGTCGAAATCGCGCGGAAACGCTTGCTATGCAGGCAATACCCATTGTTAAATGCTATCTGCCATACACTGTTCTTCGAGTGGAGATGATTCTAGAAAGTTATGCGAAAGTTTATTTTAATCAATTCTCGACTGGAAATAGCCCATTCCAGCTAGTGCAGTGCAGTATAGTGCCCATCAAAAAAAAGACTGCAAATATGTAAATTACTCATCACATGCTAAGCAACCACTGTAATGTAACTGGATTATTACGCCTACTTCAGGTTAATATTCAGCTCTTTAAAATAATTAAATGAACATGGAGACTTCCTTTAAAAACTGGCTTTGCCCAAATTTCCTCTCGCTGCCCAAAAAATCTGAGTTGCCGAAACTTTGGGGGGGCTGCAGCCCCCCTCGCCTCCCCGGCCCGTACGCCTATGGGCCAAGAAAATGCCGGTTTAAAATTAGGCCATGTTATGGGTCAAGGAGTTGAAATTATAGAGGCAATTAAATAATTGAGTCGATGAGTCATGAGTCAAGTGAAAAACTTCAAATATCTCGGATTAACTGCTACTATCTGCTTTAAACAAATACTGGTACATACAGTAAATATAGTGACAAACCTGACTAAACACTTCTTGAAGGGTGGTGGACAAAACACTGACCCACACTTCATGGACATACCCTAAAATGGACTACACCGCTGAAGTTTAGTGATTAGGGTTAGGAAACTGAGTGAATGAAGTTTTAGGTCAGTTTTCCCAGTATAAGAACCCTAAATGGAACCTGATTCACTCAGTTTCCTAACCCTAATCACTTAACTTCAGTGGCATAGTCCATTTTAGGGTAGTCATTGGGGTTAGTTCATGGAATGGGGGTCAGTGTTTTGTCCACCACCTTCCTGAAGTCAGTGCTTAACCCTGTTTTCAATGCCAAACCCTGACCTTAAACGATTCATAACTCATCACTCAATGACTTTAATATAACACTAACAACAACAACAAGCTTTCCCCGTCATAAAAATTGTAAAAAAACAAGTTTTAGCCGTTAGTTTTAAATACTAACAGCTGTACAAAGTTTGACTCAAGCACAGAACGCGAGAACACTATATGTACATGCATTAATAAATTCCACGTTTATTTCTCATTACAATGCCTGCGAGTTAT